AAGGTTTCCAATGGCTTCAGATCTTTTCTGTGTGATGTATGGGCGCAAGTGCAAGTACAGAGCTCCTTACTTCTCTGCCATCTTGCCCCCTCCCACTCAATAAATATTTCTTAACTGTATGAAAAGTTTATTGAAAGGAGAATAATGTCATCAAAACTGCATGTAAGAATATTTATTTGATAACAGTATGGAAGATGGACAGCAGTGGGAAAAAGGCTTCATAAGAACACTAGTTAGAAGGCTGTGAAATGGAGGGCGATGTTAGAAATAAGAAATGTAGGAATTACTAGTGAATTAAAACCAAAGGAATTTTGAAACTGATTTAGTGGAAGAGACTCAAAGTCATTTGGAATATGAAAATGTCATTAATATGAATAAGAAATACTAGAAGATGACGAATAACACTGGGGAAATTATGAACGATATTTATAAGAGCAATTTTGAATTTTGAATTCGAAATGCCATTGATAGGCAAGATGCATGGAATTTGGTCTTAGAAGAATCTGGACTAACAATGAAGTTATCTGATTGTGTAAGAATTACCAAAGGTGGCATTTGAAATGAGAACGTGGCTTGGGTTAAACTTACTTTTTGGAGGAAGACAGAAACAAAGAGGCAAAGAGAAACAAATCAGGAATATATGGTTTTAAGACAGGAAAAGAAATAAGGACTTTAAGAAAAAAGAGAAAATCTGACTATAGAGAGGAGGAGGAGGATCAACATTGGATTTGGTGAAAAAGATTACCTTTTGAAACTGAGGAGGTGATTTCTGGAGAATGGTGAGTCTTTATGCCTCAGGTGGAAGAAACTAGCATGGTGATTTCTCTTGATAAAATAAGGCGAGGACAAAGGGAGAACTGATGGTGTGAGAAAGAAAAATTCAATGTGTAAGGAGTATAGTGAACTTAGCTGGGATTTATGTACGATTTGGGTATACATGGCTAGGGATTACTAAAGAAATGAGATCGGAGCTGTTAGCAGTGAGTGGCAATACTTTTTTCAGAAACTTGGAAAATGAAGCACGAATAGAGAGAAGTGTAAGAATAAGCTCCAATGGAATGAATTTTTCTTGTTTTTTTTTTTTGTTCTGTTTTTTGTTTTGTTTTGTTTTGTTTTTTTAAAGAATGAAGAGTGGGACCTGGGTGGGTCAGTTAGTTGAGCATCCGGCTATTGATTTCACCTCAGATCATGATCTCACAGTTTATGAGATTGAGTCCTGTGTTGGGCTCTGTGCTGATAGCACTGAGCCTGCTTGGGATTCTTTCTCTTCCTCTCTCTCTCTGCTCCTTCCCTGCTCACTCATGTGGGACTCTCTCTCTCTTTGTCTCTCAAAGTAAATAAATAAACATTAAAAAAAAAATAAAGAATAGACGGGGCGCCTGGGTGACTTAGTCGGTTAAGCGTCCGACTTTCGATTAGGTCATGATCTTGTGGTTCATGGGTTCGAGCCCCGCGTCGCGCTCTGTGCTGACTGCCAGCTCAGAGCCTGGAGCCTGTTTCAGAGTCTGTGACTCCCTCTCTCTCTGACCCTCTCCTGTTCATGCTGTCTCTCTCTCCTAGAAATAAATAAAACATTTAAAAAAATTAAAAAATATATATTAAAAAAAATAAAGAATAGAGAGAATATGTCTCTAGTCTGAACAGAGGAAGCCAATAGAACAGTAAAGAAACACAAAATCTTTAACTTATTTAGTAGAAGAGATGTGCAGAGTAGAGAATTTTGAAGCTATAACATTAGTTTTGCTATTCGGAATTCTTTACCGAAATTTTTCACTTTTTAATAATTTCTCCTAGACCTTCAGTTATGTGTAACAGGATTAAGAAATCAAATGTTTTTGGGTTTGCTTTTTTTTCATTGGGAGGATTATCTTAACCAACAGTATTTGAAATAATATGTTCATGTATAAATTCAATGGCCTATCCCATGAAGACTTGACTTCATGTTTGAGGTGTTGGTGGGCAAAATATTATACAGAAGTTGTGGTTTGAATTCTTGCTTTGAGTGACAAGATTAAACATGAAGACTTTTGTTTGCATTCCAAGATTACTGTGGATCATGTGTAAATATGTGACCCTCCATATCACTCTTTTGAATGTTCTGACTTATAAAATAAGGTACATTAATAGTTATTTTTCATAGCTTAACTTGGAGATATTTTTAAAATTTTATTGTTTCATTAACCATTTTTGAAGTCTTACCATATACCAGCCTTAAATAAGTTAATGCATATGAAAGGTTAATTACATAATAAAAATTCAATGGATATAAATTGCTATTAATATTGTGAAAAAGTTCTTTGTCTCTCTAAAGACAAATACAGTGCAAATAATAGTATCAGGAAATTAAGGACTGCTTTGGCCATTGCATAAATTATTCTAACTTAAAGGCCTAAATACTACTTCAAACATTTTCACTGTTAAAATAAGGCAAGGTAGGAAAAACACTACTGACTGATTATTTATAGGCCGATGACACAATGTGTCATTAATTATGTATAGGTGCCATGGCACATATGCAGAGAAGAAACAATTGCTGAATTTCCATGCTATAATCCACTGTGGTCAGTCCAATACTGCATTTACTGGAGAAAGCACATTTATTGGAGTGACCTACACATAAGACTGAGTTGATTTTGCAAGAACCTCACCATAGATAATGTCCTTTCTATCTTTCATGGTCAAATGATAGAGGATTGATTGTAACTGAATAGCCCTGTCATTTGCTCCTACATTTCAACCATCTCAGAGCTGCTCTCTGCTGTCTCACGTACTCTTATGCCAGAAATCACACTTAGGTTTTCTTTGAGCACCTGAACTGGCTGACAGTCAGGGAATCAATATATCCTGTTGCACAGTGTCCAAACCTGCTATTAGTAGAATAGTAACACTAAAGATGTGTTTCCTTACAGGACAGTGCTGAATTGATCACTTCCCTGCTTCACAGTGGAGCTGACATACAGCAGGTTGGGTATGGTGGCCTCACTGCCCTGCATATTGCTACAATAGCCGGTCACCTGGAGGTAAGTCTCACCTTGGTCACCTGTAACAAGCCTCACTCTTTTAATTCTTGTTCTTAACTGTTTTAAAGGCTGGCTTTTAGTAGTTGGTTTATTTTTTAGCTACTGAATTTTTCAGCTACATACATTTTTTTGGAGGATCAAATAAAGCTATATATTTGGTAGTCAATTCAGTCTGTTTTGTAACAATATAATCAAACACCAATTAATATAAAAATGGCTGGAAACACACAGACTGTGTAGCAGTGATTAAGAGCATAGGTTTTGGGGAGAAAAAAAAGAGCAGAGATGTTGGAGTCAGGCAGTTCATTTTCCATCACTTGCTGTGTTTCCTCAAGCAAGTTATTGTACATCATGACATCTCTGTTTTCTTCATCTATAAAATAGAAATAGTAATAGGCCTATTTGTAATGATTAGATTCAATAATCCACCTAAAGCACTTTGCAGATTGCTTCATATAGACTAAGGACTCACTAAAAGATCATTCATCCATTCATTCACTTATGTATTAGTTGATTTATTAAGCATCAGTTGTACTATAGATACTGTTCTAGCTCTGAAGTGGGAGGAGCAGGAAAGATAGACAAGACTCCATTTCCTTGTAATTTAGTTGTAGAAAATAAGACAGACAGGTACCTGGGTGGCTTAAGTCGGACTTAAGCATCCGACTTTGGCTCAAGTCATGATGGTTTGTGGGTTTGAGCCCCTTGTTGAGGTCTGCTGACAGCTCAGAGCCTGGATCCTGCTTCAAATTCTGTGTCTCCCCCTCTCTCTCTGACCCTCCCTTTCTCACTCTGTCTCTGTCTCTGTCTCTCTGTCTGTCTCTCTCAGAAATAAAAAACATTAAAAAATTAAAAAAAAAAAAGAAATAAGACAGACAATAAAGGAAAGAAAATATATAACGTCACTACTGAGTACTAGAAAAATAATAAAACAAGGTAGAATGAAAACAGAGTGAAGTGGGCACCATTTAAAGTAAACTATATAGTAAAACTATACATAAAATATATATGATAGCACATACAAAGACTCTGTGGCAGAGAAGAATTAGGTATGTTTGTGTGATATGAGTGAGCCAACGTTGTGTGGTAGGCGCTAGAGCTAGAGTGATGGAGATGGGGTCAAGTGGATGGTTACAAAACCAGATCACAAAGTATTTTAAAGACCATGGGAAGGATTCTGGGTCATGTCTTAGATTAAATTGTTGAAATATTGATTTCATACATACAAAGCACTTTCATTTGTATTACTTATTTAATTTACTTACAAATCCTCATCAAATAGTTTTTAGCAACACTGCCATTTGATAGATATAAAACCACTGTTCCTGTATAGTAATTGTCTTTACATATTGCAAAGCCATTGAGAAAAAGAGCCCTATCTGGAATCCTGGTCACTTTTCTCAAAATCCCATGATTCTCACACTCTATCAGTTGTGGTAACTGAGATACCTTTTTTTTTTTTTATTATTAAATAGTTATCTATTTTTCCCTTTAGTCACATTGCAAATTAAATTGTTTTTTCTTTGCTAACACACTCTCCTACACACAACACACACACACACACACACACACACCAACTGTGAGCAAATAGAGCTGCATATCATAAAATCATACATAAAACTTATAAAGTAGGTGTAATCTACTTCTCTTAACAGTGTCACTTTGAAGGCCTCTTACATTCAATAAATATTAACACATTTCATTGAGGAAAAAATAATTTCCTTCATGCTGACATTTCTACCCCTTACTATATCTTATTTTCCCTCCAAATAAATCCTTTTGGTGAGATTCACTGTAATTATAAGTGAATCTATGTTAATTTATGAGTAAATAAATTTTACTAGAATCACCTAAATATCAATATTTTCCATAAAGAAGCCAACTGAGGCCAGTAATAAAGTAAATGCAAGGTAAATTTTAAGAAGTCTGGGTGGAAGAATTTATGGGACAGACATTAAGTCCCAGTGAGATACATCCAGCATTTTAATGCTGGGAAAATGGCAGAATATGTTTTGCAAAACAAAATCCTTTTTGTCTAGTGCTGAGCTGATATGTTTGTCAGGCACTGAATTATAAGAGGGTCAAAAGCAAGGTGGTTAAGAGCTTGGTCTCTTCTTCTATTGAAATATCTATTTTCTTACTGTAAATCATAGTGTAGAAGGAAATATAATTCTACCAGCCTTATGGAAAACATTACCAAAATAATTCCACATAGGTTTCTAGTCTTGTCTTGCATTTTTTTCATGGGTTCTCCAACTTCATTAGCTGTTGTATAACATTTCATGACTTTTATAGACAATTACTGATGGTGCATAAAGCAAATGTGTATACATTAACCTTTATTCTCTTTTTATCTAAGAGACTAAGTTACAGATCAGATAATAAAAGAAAATGGTATTAAAAAACCTATAAGTATCATATTCAAAATGCAAAATTTTTTACGCTGAATTATTTTTTCAAAGCTATTAATTGCAATAAATACTCTTAGTATATTTTCTTCCCCCCTCATACTCATTCATTCATTTAATAAATATTTTAACCTCTACTTTTTCCAGAGCATAGTGCTATACTATGGGAATGATAAAAGAAAATATGACATACCTTTTCCTTCTAAAGGTATTTTAGTGTAGCTGGACATACAAAATGAACAACACAGGAAGGGGCATCTGGGTGACTCAGTCGGTTAAGCGTCTAACTCTTGCTCTCTGTTCAGGTCATGATCTCGCAGTTCATGGGTTTGAGCTTCACATCAGGCTCTACACTGGCAGCATGAAGCCCGCTTGGGATTCTCTCTCTCTACCTCTTCCCTCCCTACTTATATTCATGCATGTGTGTACACTCTCTCTCTCTCTCTCTCAAAATAAATAAATAAATAAACATTCAAAAAATGAATATACAGGAAGAATTATATAAAAAAATTCAGAAGTAAATTTGTATGGAAGGAAGGAAGAGGAAAGAGTCAAAGATCAGAGTGAGTTTGATAATTAGGAACAATTAGAAATGTGCCAATTGCATAGCAAGGTATGACAACACAAAATGAGAAGTGTTAAGAGTTCACTGGGAATAGAAATCAATGTGGACTGAAAGAATTGGGGAAGGATTTATTAAAGGGGGTTTTGAAGCCAGGCTGCACTTTAAGGAGTGGTGAGAACTGGACAGAGAAAAAAGAATCATGCCCAAAAATTGTAAGAATGAGGTGAACACACTTAGAAGAGAGTGAATATAATGATAGATAAACAGGTTGTGAAAAGTCCATTTAAGTAAATTTGGATGTTAGGAACGGACCAGACTAAGGAAACAGAATAAAATTTCAAGGAGTTGAATTCAATTCAGTGAGCATATTTTTTAGTTTATGATGTACTACAGACATGACTAGATGAATAAGAAGATAAATAAAACAAATTCCTGCTCTTTAAAGACACTTACAGGCAATAGGGTTTTTTTTTTCCCTAATTGGAAATGAGTCATTGAGACTTTTTGAGCAAGAGAATGCTTGGAGATTTGATAAATAATGTATTGAAGATAATTTCTTTGAACAAAGAATTTACTATGGACTGTAGAGTGATGATATGATGGTTAAATGGAGGGAGATAAAAGATTGAGTAAAGAAATCAATTTGGAGAAGAAATCAGTTAACCCCAACATGTTGATCTACTAGTGACATCCAAAGTTTCAAGTGGAAATGTTCCTTAATCATTTAGAAGTACACAACTAGGATTCAATGGAGAAGTTGGGGTTTAATGTAAGTTTTTGAAAATTATATGTGAGGAGGTGCTATTTGAAACCATAATAGCTGAAAGTTGTAAATTGGGTCTAATAGATAGCCAGAAACTGAGCCTATCTATAGAGACTTGAGGAATTACTGCCCCACCAAGAGACAAAGGTGCATTGGTCACAGTGGTATGAGGAAAACACACATATTGTACTATCATAGTAATTAGGAGTCTGGAGTTTTTCAGTAAAGGATCCTGGGTATCAAATGATGCAGAAAGTACAATGAGTACAGTGGGATAAAATACATATAGTTCTTACTTCTTATACCAAAACTTTAGATGCTTATTTCACTCCTATTTTTCACTCTTGGTTAGCAGAGATGGTAGCAGTGGATCAGTGGGAGTTCCCTTTCATTAGTAGTCACTTTCTTTTATTGCCCACCTGTCTCTGTACAACAATAAGTGATGATAAGTCTGACAGCCCTCTTTGTCTCCACATATCAAATTCAGCACTTCCATTAGTGTCTCAAGTGTGTTCGTCCTCCCATAATTGTGAATTCTATTAAACAATTTTACAATAAAATTTACATTGACTAGGCAGCTGTCTCCTTCAATAATAGAAGAGAACATGTGCTGTGGATTCGTAGACATGCTGATTGCAATTTGAGACTCAGATTTAGATTTACTGTGCTTTGAAAAACAGGCAAATATTGGTTGTCCTGTGTCTCTATTTCTCCCTAATCTATCCCTCTATCAATATATGTGCATATGCTGCTTTATGCAAGGCCTAAGATCCTGTCAGCAGTCTAAAAAATGAACTAAATCCTCTTCTCCCCTTTAAATCCAGGGGGCACATGAGTCATATGTTCCCTCAACCATGGAAAATGAAAAATATTAGCTAACATTTGGTAGTGCTTTTGTATTTGTCACTTGGCTCTCCGGTTAGATAGATAGTTTAGTTTATCAGTGAGGAAACTGAGGATTAGAGAAGTTAAATGATTTCTACAGAGTCATCCAAGCATAAATAAATAAGATGAGATGAGTAGGACTCACACCTCACATCTATTTCAAATCTGTATTCTTGTACGTAAAAGGACAATTATTCCCTTTTGACTCTTGTACGGGTTGCTAAAATAGGCTTACACCCATAAGATACAAAAAACATATCCAGAAAACAAAGCATAAACTGAATATCTTACAGGTTAAAGCCCAGACATTGCTACATATGCAAATAAAGCAACATTAATTAATTCAAGAATAAGTTTATATGGCATTTAGTATATGGGTACCAGAATCCACAGAGGTATAATGCATATGTGCGAGAATACAACACACACATACATTGTACACACACGCACACAATCACATATCCCCCAAGTGTAAAACACTTTATAGTTAGTCAAATAATTCTTTTAAAAGCTGTTACACTGTGGTATTTCATGTAGTAGTTTCTAAAGTTATCAAGAGACAAATCAATTATCTGTAGCTGTAGACAACTGTTTGAATAGCAAATAGAAAAGCATGTCTGGGAAGACACACTATGTAATGTATAGGGGTTGGGGAGTGTTTTCTTCGTCACAGAAAGTCACAATTTCATATACAGTTTGTGCAGGTGAGAGTATTATTTTTATAGTTGAATTTATTGTATCCTACCTTCCTTTCTTTAGATTGTAAACACTTCTCCAAACACGGCTTCAAAAAGGCTTCCCAGTTATTTTGGAATTCATTTCTGATTTCAAGGAAATGCAATTGATGTTGTTCCAGTTCATTCTTAACTAAATCATCTGAATGTTTCAGGAGAGAGTTTTGTTTACCAAGAAGCTTCTAAGTCTCTCTAAGTTATTTCTTTTAAAATGGCTTTAGTTTTCTTCCCAAAGGCACAAACAAGTGAATGCTTGGAATTATAAAATGTGTGCACTCTCTCTCTTTTTCCCTCTCTCTCTGTCTTAAAGAGATAATGTACTCAGGAGTATTATAACTAAAAAGTATTAGACCTGTCTCCAGTCTATGAGTAGACAATAGTCCCTTAGGAACTTCATTCAGAATTAGAAAAAAAGAGAGCACTATGTCATTCACAGTGGCCAGCACCATTGCCTTGTCTCTGGTGTCTCCCAAAATTTTGCAAGCAGAAAAACAAATCTTACATGAACATCATAAGCTACTAGAATTCAGGTACAAAAAGCATAGCAAGGGCCAAATATACCAGTTAATGCACATTATTATAAATTATTGTTTAAATATCACCTAGTGAATGCCATTAATGATTGATAGGTATTCTAATTACCATTTGTTGGCATTAACTTTAAATTGGTCTGAATAGTCATCTGTAGTTCTGTGATGCCAAACTTTAATATACCTTCATATCAAAAGGCTAAATCTGAAACTAAGCCTTTAGTGTACATAGTCTTTAAAAACTGAGACCTGATTTAGGAACACTACATCTCCTGTGGCATTAAAAAGTGTTTTTCTCAGAAGTCAAAACCAGAACCTCTATGTCCTAGTTACTGAATGTGCTACAGAGCATACTGCTTTTTAAAGGTGAGGAGACAGTCTCCTACTGTCTAGGGTTTTGGTCTAGAGACTGAAACAAGATCATAGACCATGAATCATAATCAGTAATTTTATGGTTTCAGAAGATGTACCTTGTATCAGTTGTAAGATTGATACAAGAGGACATTAGCTTGAGTGTCATTGGAGCGGGGCGGGGACTCGAATCTTTGCCATAGGTTCTATTAGCTATTATCAAACATTAAGTATTGCTTTTGGGGTGAGGTAAAAGAGCATAAGCAGGAAAAGCTTTATAGGCTAATAAAAATGTAAATGAAGTGTTCATCAGCTTGCTACCATGGAAAATGATGAAAGAAACATTACTTGAGAAATTAGATTCATAGATAATTGCTAATCAAATCAACCTGAATGAGAAATCCCTTTGTAACCATTCAGCGTTTTCTGTGAATTTGCCTCTCTATGCCAACCCTTCTGTGCACTGAATTTGATTCCAATATCCTACGCACTCCATACATAAAAAAATAGATGTAGAGATAAAATAGATATAACATGATTTATATATAAGTATAATATATATGTATATGTATATACACATATGTGTATATGTGTAATATATGTGTGTGTATGTGTATATATTTATATCACGTTATGCAATGTGTCAGCGAGGCAGAAGTAATTTCTGTGCTAGATATCCATGACAGTTGATAAGAAACAGCTATATATTTTGATGCATGTGCATTTAACCTTTTTTTCAAAGCCATACTCCCTACCAGGAATTTGAAGCCTGAGTTATTAATCTAGGTTTTTACAGCTTGCTTATGTCACATCCCCAGAGTTTCAGAGCTTCTAAGTTCCCTATGTCCTAGGAGGGCAGGAAGTTACTACTCTTCTCCCCCTCAATTAGGAATACATTGGAAGACCAATATTTTCTATCTGATCTTCAAATACAATATTAGAGTAGATGGTGAGTACTACCTACTTTCTCTCAGGGATGATTCATTCTGGGATGGTAGTTAGGGAGTAGAGGCCTTTAAGTATTTTATCTTTTCTGAACATTGTGTGAGTTATTTTCCCTATGGCTGCCTTTCGTGGATCTCTAAATAACGAACCTTTAGAAAGTTGCTAAGGTTGGAGGAGTGAAAATGAGAGGCTAGAGCCCTCATGAATGACTCTCAACAGCTGCCCTTTGTCACAGCATCTATTTTCTGAGATGTCCCTCAAAGGCACTCAGCACCTCTGCCTCTTATCACTTGTTCTTACACAACTGAATATCAAACTAATATAGCTATTATAAAGCATGGAACTATTAAGGAAGTCACAAAAAGCTTTCTAGAGTTACTCTGAGAGGTAATTCAAGTGCAACCACTTGAAGCATCTTTAACCTTGATGCCCTTTTACTTTGTTCTGTGCCCTGAAGTAGGCTACTAGCTCCCATAATTCTGGGCTGAGCTGTCTCATAATTACTGCGAATTTCCATACCTAAGAAACAACCTACCAGGAGTTGAAGAATCATTTTCATAATTCTTGCCAGAAAGGTATACATCAAGCTACCCAGGAAACTTGGGAGGAGATTCCCAATTAAATAAGACAAAGGCAATGGATGCAAATCTTTTGTCTAGAACTATCAAAGACATTACTGGTAGTGGTCAATATGCTGCTTCATTCTGTCATTCATACTATCATTTTCTTATTCTTTATTCATACTGTCATTATCTTCCTGGACTTCCTACAGTAGTATTCTGACTTATAAGGCCTGTCTTCCAATCTTTTAGCATCCTACTTTATCCTAAATACTTCTGAAATTTTGCCAGGTTTTCTAACACATGGCTTTGATTAAGTTACTCCTTTGACCAAGAAACACTGATTCCAAAATACACCCAGCAGAGGATTAAGTGATAGTGATCCAATTCTCCTACCTTTTCAGGCATGGGTTTTCATGGTTTTCATTTTGCAACCCATGCTCTGAATTCAATGAACTGTTATGCATTTATATTCCCTACGCTTTTTATTACACTATAGTCTCTTTATAGTATACCTCTCCCAACCATCCTAAAAGTTCAACTCAAATGCCACCTTCATTAAACTGCTGGATTTTTTTAGCTTGAGGTGTATCCATGTTTCTAACAACCATGGTACTTTATCTATACCTTTCTCATAGTATTTAATACTGCCTGTTTTATAAACACGGTTATATTTTACTATTTTATTATATAGTTTTCTTGAGCATAGGAACTGCATGTTGAACTCCCTATGGCTCTCACAGGTTCTAGTATTGTGCCTTTGCATATAATAGGTTTTTTTTTTTTTAACTTAGAGCATCTTCTTTTTTTTCTTTATTTCTTTTTTAACTTTTTATTTATTTATTCTTTTAAGTAATCTCTATAGCCAACAGGGAGCTCGAACTCATGACCCCAAGATCAAAAGTTGCATGCTTTTCTAAGTGAGCCAGCCAGGCACCCTGCATATAGTCAGGCACCCTGCATTATTTAAAAAATGTTTGCTGAATGACTAAATTAATGATTATGCAAGTGTTTTACAAATCACACAGAATGAGAAAAAAGATTTCTCCATAAATGCACAAGAGATTATAATGATATCTTTAATGAGGAAAGTAGCTTACAAAATCACAAGCAATTTTCATGAATAGCTTCATACAAATTACAATTAAAAAATCGATAAAATGAGTAAGTATACAGCCTATACAAAGAAAACTAATGATCAAGTTTGTTTTTAAAATTTTCCCTCTGTCCATTCAATATCATTTTTAATTTTTATTTTTTATTTTTACATATTATTATTATATGTTGTTAATATTATGATATTGATTATTTTATGTTAAACAAAATTTTAAAAATAAATACAGTTTTCTTTAAGCTAGAACTCTCTTTTTCTTCTCCTAATATCTATTGGTGGAATTCTGTATGCTTTTATTTTTTTTTAACTTTTTATTTCAATTCCAGTAAATTTTTATTTAAATTCCAGTTAGTTAACATACAGTGTTAGTTTCAGGTGTACAATTTAGTGATTCAATACTTCCAAACAGCACCCAGGGCTCATGACAACAAATGTACTCCTATTTAAAACATAAAGGAGAAATTTGGAATTAATCTAATAAGTTTGATCTAACAAAAAAATGAACAGAGTTTAAGTTTATTCTACTACACAAGAAACAAGTCTAACATACCCACAAGGGAGCATGGTGAGTCTTTGAGATCTGCATGCCTCTCTCTCTGACTTAGCTGAACTTTCCTAATCTTCATTCTAATCAGTAATGTTGTCTCCAATCTCACATGTGTATTGTGCTTTCTGGTATAAAATCAGTTACTGACTCATAGTCCTGTGCTATTACACAGCCTCAGCACTGATAGCTTGTGATCCATTTATGAACTGTCAAGATAAATAAAGATCTTTAGATTATTTATATCAGCTTTTTTTACCCCAGTAAACTTATACTGAGAGAATTACTATATGTCTAATCCCTCTCCAACTTGATTTTATGTCTTTTAGCCTAATTGGTTGCCAAACTGAATATACAACTTTCTTACTGATGATGCAAGAAGAGTGGAAATGTGTTGTTCCAATAAGGAACGTGACTTGGTTTAGATGTTGGCACTCCCATCAGCAAGTGTGATAACATAAATCCTTAAAGATCCAGTCAGTAAATTCTGGAGCTATAATATTTTATAGTAAAAAGCCTTTGGATTTTTTTTAGCACTTCCTTCTTTTTGGCAAGCAACCAAGTCTGAACTCTCATTGGAACTTCTGGAATTGTTGAGACTGTGTCTAATTTAGATAACCAAATCTTTCAGATCAGAGTTTAAATAAAGTTTATATGGAACAAAACCCAGTACCAGTATATGAATAATAAATTTACCTTTGTTGTACTGCTGTCAAAATTATGATGAAAACTCTCTTTGTTTTAGGCCTTAACATTTTGAGTATGTTATGATCCAGCAAACTGACTTCTAGAAATTTATTTTATGGAAATAATAAGAGATTGGATCATAAGGGTGCTCATGTAAAATAAATAAGAAAAACAATGTAAATGCCCAGAAACAAATATTGATTAAATCCAGCTGATACATGGGTACAGGGGGATCATGGCATTGCACAAGTGTATATACAGTAACAAGGTGTAAGATAGTGGTCCTGTTTTATTCTTTACATGTAGCTGTCCAGTTTTTCAAACATCATTTATTGAAGAACTGTTTTCCCCCCATTGCATATTCTTCCCTCCTTTGTCATAGATTAATTGACCATATATTTATAGGGTTTTTCTGCATTCTCTTTCTTATTCCAGAGACCTATTTGTCTGTTTTTGTGCCAGTATCATACTGTTTTGATTACTCTAGCTTTGCAGTATGTTTTGAAATCAGACAGAATGATACATCCAGCTTTGTTCTTCTCTCTCAAGATTGCTTTGGTTGTCTGGGGTCTTTAGTGGTTCCATACAATTTCAGAATATTTTGTTTAGTTCTGTGAAAAATGTTGTTGGTATTTTCATAAAGAATTCCATAGGTCACTTTGGGCAGTGTGGACATTTTATTTTTATTTTATCCATGAACACGGGATATCTATTTGTTTATTTGTGTCATCTTCAATTTCTTTCATTAGTGTCTTATGGTTTTCAGAATACAAGTCTTTTTACCTCCTTGGTTAAATTTATTTATGGGATTATTTTCTTAATTTCTTTTTCTGATAGCGTACTAGTATATCGGAAAGCAACTGATTTCTCTATGTTAATATTGTGTCCAGTGACTTTACTAAATTTATTAGTTCTAACATTTTTTTTGATGGGGTTTATAGTGTTGTCTATATATAGTATCATGTCATCTGTAAATAGTGACTTTTACTTCTTCCTTTCCAGTTCGAATGCCTTTTATATCTTCTTCCTGCCTAATTGTAGTACTTCTAATACTATTTTGAAAGAAATTAACATTCTTGTATTGTTTCTGATTTTTGAAGAAAAGTGTTCAGCTTTTCACCATTGAGTATGATGTTAAGTGTGGGATTATCATATATGACCTATTTTATGTTGAGGTATGTTCCCTCTATAGTGACTCTCTTGAGAGTTTTTATAATATAGATGTTGAATTTTGTCAGGTGATTTTTCTGCATTTGTTGAAATGATCATATGATGTTTATCTTTCTTTTTGTTAATGTGGTATATCACATTAATTGATTTGCAGATGTTAAGCAATTTTTACATCCTAGAATAAATCCCACTTGATTATGGCATATGACCCTTTTTGTGTATTGTTGAATTTGGTTTACTATTTTGTTGAGGATTTTTGTATCTATGTTCATCAGGAATATAGGCCCATAACTTTGTAGTATCTTTGTCTGGTTTGTTGTCAGGGCAATGCTAGCCTCATAAAGCATTCTGTCCTCTTTGAATGGAATACTTAAGATGGATAGGTTCTAACTGCTCTTACCTATCTTATCTTCAAATTTATTTGACTTACTTTTCCTACTTTTTAAAAAATTTCTTTTAAATTTATTAAGAAAGATACATGGCTTAGCTCATTAATTTTTAGCTTTTTTCCTAATCACTTTCAAGTCTACATTTCAAACTTCTATTTTGGCTATATTGTCCAAGTTTCGATATATCATATTTTGTTAATATTCAGTTCAAACTACTTTCTTACTGCTTCTCTGAATTCTTTTTTGACCCATAGTTTATTTAGAAGTAGGCTTCCAATTTTATAAGTTTAGTATTTTTTATTTACCTTTTTTTATTTTTAAGTTAATTTACACTGTGGTCAGAGAACTATGTCATTGTTTCACAGTATTGAGGGTGCCTGAGTGGCTCAGTCACTTGGGTCCAACTCTTAATTTTGGCTCAGATTATGATCTCATGGTTGGTGAGATCAAGTCCTGCATTAGGCTCTGTGTTGACAGTTTAGAGTCTGCTTGGAATTCTCTCTCTCTCTCTCTCTCTCTCCCTGACCCCTCTTGAGTGCATACACTGACTCTCTCTCTCAAAATAAGTACATAAATAAACTTTTAAAAAAAGAAAAATATGTTGAGTATTCCTATATGGCCTAGTATATGATCAACTTTGTGAAAGTTCTGTGTGTTCCTGAAATGAATATGCACTCTGCTATTGTTTGTTAATGTGTGTTGTAAGAGCCAATTAGGTCAAATGTTTATGTCTTTCATATCTCTATCCTTTTGTGGGTTTTTTGTTTGTTTATTTTGGCTTATGCTATCAACTCTGTTAAAAATTCTCTACCATCATTGTAGATCTGTTTGTTTTAATTCTGTACACTTTTCCTAATAGTGTTTAACTATGTAACATGATTTAACACATGTTAACATGATTATAGTTTCCTGGGGGAATCAATCCTTTTATTACAATAAATTAACCTTCTTTATCTCCAGCAATGCTTTAATTTACCCATGAATTCTATTTTTTCTCATATAAATATAGTGATATATACTTCTCTTGCTTAAAATTTACTGGGCATATCTTTTTCTATCTTTTTACTATAAGCCTATATAAATGTTTTACTTTAGAGGTGTCTCTTTAAAATAGCATATAATTGGATTTTATTTTATCCTACCCAGAAATTCATTATTTTAAAGATTAGTCCATTTGCATTATATATTTAGAGTTAAATCTATCAACATATTCTGAACTTTCATTTGTACCATCTTTCTTTATTTCAAAAATTAAGTGTCTGTATATGGGTGGTCTATTTCTAGACACTTTATTCTATCCTACTGTTCTATTTGTTTATTGTATGTGAAAATCACTCAGCTTTCCTTGCTGAAGCTTTATAATGAATTTTGATATCCCCAGTTATAAATGTGCTAATAATTTTATAATTACTTTTTAAAATTTTCTTTGTCATTTTTGGCCTTTTACATCGATTATAAATTTTATTTTATTTTTTAAAGTTTTCATTTATTTAACTTGATAGAGAGAGAAAGAGAGGGAGAGAGAGAGAATCACAAGCAGGCTCCACACTGTCAACATAGAGCCCAACGTGGGTCTTGAATTCATGAACTGCAAGATCATGACCCGATCTGAAGCCAAGTGTCAGACGCTTAACCAATGGAGCCACCCAGGCACCCCACACCCATTATAAATTTTAAAATCAGATTGTCCATATATGTGATATTACAGCTATGGATCTTTTTTTGTCATTTATTTACTTTAATATTTATATTTTAATATTTACCTATATTCAGAATACACTTATCCCCTCCAATTTCTCTCCAAATGCCACATTCTGTTACCACATCATGCTCAAATTCCAGGATCTCATCAAATAAATTGGGTTCAAGTGTGGATGAGAATTCTTAAGTTTGGTGCCTCTACTATGGTTTATCTCAATTGGGTTCCTATGGAATAAAGAGAGAAGTTGTTTGCCTCCCACATACCCAGCATACAGAGGTAAGTAGTCATAGATAATCACAACAGACACAGCTATTCAAAGTAGAAAATGGACAGACACAGCAGATAACCTCATATTGTTGTCACAAAGAATCAAACAGAACAATATGGTCAGGTAGTACAAATAATAATGAATGATTGTAGTGAGTTGTGAGGACTCTTGGACATTTATACAGCTTTGAAAGAGAACATTTTTAGAAATCAATGGTAATGTGTGTGTAGGTTGCATTTAAATATAAATGCACAACTGCTGTTTGATTGTTATAATTTTTATCATGCTATACTAATTGTTTTGATCATTCAGCTTTGGGAGTTAAATCATCTAAACTTTTAGAGATAACATATCTGGAATAGATCAGGTCCTAGGTATTTGGCTAAATCATCCTCTACTGTGGCTTTCTCTCCTAAATCTTCAAATCATATTATAGTTTTATATTTATCAAATTTGGGCCATGAAAATTGAGGCTCTTCTCCCTTATAATACACAAAACATGCTTCCCTGTATCTTATGTGGGGGACACATGAAGGATTAATACTCAGATTAGCAAAATCATAGAAATTTCTTGGTCAATAAAATTCTATAAAATATTTTCAATGTTTTAATTTTAATTCTGAAAGAATAAGAAAATATCCATCTTGGCTTATAAAATAACATCAGTATCTCTTCTCAAAGTGCCATAAATAAGACAGCACCTGGCAGATTTATTGTTGATCTATGTTTAATTTAAACTTGTTTTTAGAATATAGGAAAAGTGCTGAAAGGAAACTGACAGCTTTGAATAGATATATGATCTAAAACTCTGTAATACATCACTCATTTTAAATTAAGAATGGATATAATTCTTTCTGAAATATATCAGATGTGGAAAAGACAGAGTGTGGTCCTCTGAAAAACAGAGGAGAAGGGGAGAAAAACAGAAATAAAGAACTTCTTAAATTATTGATTTTGTTAAACATATCAAATTATTTGTCACCATAAATGTAGCAATCTCTAACTTGAGGTGTGCTGACTAGTGATGACCTTATGTTTCTGGATGCTTACTGGCTTTTGCACCTTTATGACAGAACATTGAAGTTTATTTTGTGTTTAGATAATTTATCAGTATATATGTGTGTTATCCTATTTATCTTGCTCTTTTATCAGGTTGCTAGCAACCAGCAAATTGGTTCAAAGAAGTTATGTCTCAAATAAGTAGACTTTAGCAATTTGAAAGACATTTTTTGATACAATAGATTTCTATACTAATAGTATGTCATTGGCTAAACTGTTGGGAAGTAAATTATAGCACAG